ACAGTTTCGGGACCCTTTTGTACCAGCGGGTTGTTGCCGAGCTGGGCCATTTTTTACCGGTATGTCAACGGACGTTGCTCCTCAGAAATCTCCTCCATGCTGCCGCGCTATGAACCTGCCAGACGGACACGCCTGACTTGCGGGTCCACCCTAACCGTGTCGATCTTCATACATCCAGAACTGGCCGGCACGACCGCTCCGTTGTCCGTAGGGTGTCGAGATTATGAAACAGTCTGCCTGAGAAAGCGTTTCCCAGTTCGGCTAATCTTAGGCAGTTCAAAAATCGGATTAACAAAGTGTCTTTAAACTCCTTCTAGCAGCCGCGGTGACCCGGTATTTAACCTTGTGCCTACGCAGCTGCTGCTGTATAAAAAAATAAAACGAATCGCTACAAACAGAAAACCACAATGTTGTTTCTGTAAGATCTCCTTCACATGCTGGTATTGAGGGCAACTACAATGCAGATTTTCACGCAAAATAAGTATCAACCCAGTTAAAAGATAAGCATCCCAGCTACCGATATGAATAAAACAGAATCATTGAAACCTGAAACGCCAATTAGCAGAAAAATCCATCAAAGCTATTCGAACTAAATCTAGAGTGTGGATTGTGGACTAAAAACACAATCAGCAGAAGACACCAAATCCACATCACCTGACTCCGGTTAGGCCTCAACCACATCACCCATGGGCGCCTGAAGAATTTTCTCCCGGGCCGATCATCGGCAAGTGAGAGCTTATTGTGGAAGGGTACCTGATCCAAAAAAATTTTGGGAGCGGGGGTAGCAAATAAACTCAGGGAGGCCAGATCCTAGGAATCTCAATAATTATGTACAAAAGCATGCTAAATATGCAAATTTCAAGATCAACCGTATTCTCAGGGCGAGTGCACATGGGATTACTGATGAACATTTCATCACCCAGGAGCCAGTACCATGTGTCAAGTGTGTGAAATTTATCCAATGTCAAACACATACGAGTATTAATACAGTGCCTGTTAACAGAATGTTATAGAGTAGAATGTAACTTCACTTCGTTGACCATATTTTAACATCAAACTGTAACATACACAACCCTTTACGTTTCTTAAAGCTAAGTAATGTGTGCGTTATAGCAGATATCTGCCACTGCTATTCCCCAGTAGGTCGATGCGGTTTTTAAGTAAAAAAGCAACGAATTGACTTACCACCTTGCCACCTAGCCTGCAACATCTCCAGTTACTCACCTATAGAAAAAAAATAATTTTACTATTTGAGTAATTCAGTAATTTTTTACCTAATAATAAGACATCATAATGGAACTATACATTCGGAATGATTTCGGATTAGGTTTCAGCGACGCAAAATATGCACGGTAATAGCAAGCGCGGATCCAGGGGTTCATGGGGGTCATAACCACCTTTCTAAGTCCGCCAGTGCGACAAAGTGCCTCTCATGGCCATGCCACCATACTAAAGTATCTGAAAGTTCAGTTCGACAACTGTTTAGTTTTTGATTAACATTTTGGAAATAGCTGTAAGGAAATATCAAAAAATCTATAACTTTTTCAAACTTCAAACAAAGGTAACAGTTGGTAAAAATATAATTCAGCCACTTTTAGGGTGGATTCACCCAAAGATTAGCCACTATTTTGTACCAAACACATTTAAAAAACCCACCACCCACCATCAAATTGAAGCAACCAATGGCATTTGAAGCATATAAAATGATAGCTGTCAACTATGAGATAACAGTTTAGCATCAAAATATTTTAGAGTTGATCGATTATCTTCAAAATCATATCAACATGATTAATATTACTCAGAATTATAAAAGGATGTAATATGCAAGTGGCCACAATTTTATAACTTTGGCTCAAAATCTAGAGTCATTTTTAGCACTTCTGCCTGTTAAATTTGAAAAAATGTTTCAAGCGACATAGCCTTTTGTTGTTAAAAATATATGCATAAGTGAGAGCAGTAATTTCAGGAAAATTTCTACACATGAACAGATGCCAAATTAAGGATTTTATTAATATTACACGTTATAATTCACCTTTCACGATACTTTATCTCAGAGTTCCACCAGGTAGCCAGTGCTAGTCAGTAGCTCCCTATGAAATCCTTCACTACAAAAACCCTCTCAAAATCAAAAGAACTCCAAAGGTGCTTCAAAGTGTAGCAGTATGAGAGACACATCATACATGCAACCCAATTACATCATAAGTCTTCCACAAAATTATTAATCTTCAGACAAAAGTAATTACAATATTCAATCATAGATCCGAAATTGCAGATATTGTAAATGTTTTTAGTAGGTGTAGGCCATAGTATACAGAGTGGTTCTTCAAGGTGGCTCATCCCTGTAACTTTTTTATTATTGAAATTTGGGGGTTGCGTACTACAGATGGACTTACATTTTTGGACCTATTCACTTGCTTTGAAGTACTTTCGGTTTGACCGGAAACGACTCCAACTTTCGATTTTTAAATGGGGCACCTTATATATCTTTGCTTATTTCGTTCGAGAATGACATTCTGAACTCAACAACTCCTCATTTGTCAATATTTGACAAATAAAGTCATTTTTATATCAATTTTTATTTTTCGAACTAGAATGCCATGCATCCTGTAAGTCGCTCCATTTTTGATCAAGTAACACGGAAAAAATACGATTTTTAGGCGAATTACCTTATATTCGATTTAAAGGTTTTCTGGAAGTTACAAACACCATTTTTTCAGTTTACTTGATTTTTTCAAATAGAAGGAGGGTAGCTCATCGGCTGTTTCCAATAGGCCATTTTCTTACGAATAACTTGACACTGCACACCCTTATTTTATTTTCACTATTTTTCTGAATAATTGTAAGAAATGATCATACCTAACAACAAATAATACGTATCTGTTTTCGGTATACCTATGCACCAAGTCCTATTATTATAGCTATCCGAAACAAACAATTCAAGGTGTTGCTTTCGAAATACAAAATGTGCAACGAACCAGAAGAAAATGCGAATAACTTTATCGCCAGTGAAGGATAAGAAATAGAAATAGACGTATAATGTGCCATCAAGGTTCTAACTGTTCAAATGGCCTCCTGCTTGATCACCTTTATCAATTGTTGCTTGCACCACATTGATTAACTTAATTATTCCCCAGCGGAGTAAGATCTGGTGATCTAAAATATAAAAAATAAATTAGACGTTACAAACAAAATATGACAACTTAAGGATGTGCCTCGGAGGCCATTGAACAGGTCCATTAGTCACATCTACTTTTCTAAGAAGGTGTCATCCAGAAGTTCTCTTACGCATGTAAAATGTAAAATTGATATCAACTTGGTTAGTCAGTGGCAAATCTTCAATGAAACCGTTATTCATTATTTATGAACTGTAGATATCTTCCCGCAGTAAGTTTCTCCGATAATACCCATCCAGCAATTGAAACTAAATCGCTCTTGAAAATTTCCTTCTTGTGTTAGACGTAGGAGTTTGTTTGTGACCAAAACTTTTTATTATTCCGATTGAACATACCCAAGTTAGTAAACCGAATTTCATCTGAATAAATAATTCTGAACGGAAAACGCCCATCTTCTCTGTATTTAGTCAAAAACTAGTTGCAATAAATTAATCTTCGGTTGTTGGTGTAATTGGTAGTTGAATGATCGATAATTGTATTTGTGAAGAATTCTACAAATGGTTATTCATCCGATCTGGCGACGGTGCAGATTTTCCCCCTACCGAATACAACGACACTATTTACTGATTCCGTTTTTCTTTCGGTTCGGCAACACTGCAACACGGCAGCATACAAAAGCAATTAAGATTCCAGATCAAATAAAAATGAGATATACTTGTAACAACAAGTTTGGTGTTTTTGATTTTCACTTATACAGAGTGGTCAATATACAACTAATTGATTCAAATTGCGCGTCATTTTTGATACACGCATTTCAGTAGGTGGTGCCATAGTAGTTGTTTAAAAACCACATGTGTCCAATTCATCATGGACTGCTACACGATCCCACAACGCGTCCGCATTGTTAGTACGTTTTACTTAATAATGAGTCGATTGTGCAATGATTCGGAAGCTACGACAAGATTTCGGTCGAAATAATGTACTAATAAGGTACCCACCATTCTACAGTTGGTACGGGAAATTTGAACAAACAGGTGCAGTTAAAGACTTGCCAAGGTCGGCACGGGTATGACGTATCTCAAAAAGTGAATTATGGCCGATTTTTTTTGACAATATGCTGTTTTTTTTTGACATTATGTAGGTTATTCTACAAGATGTTAACTTAGCACTTAGTTGTACGTGTTGCCTAAACGTGACGAGCTTGTTATCCACCTTGGCTCTAATGTGATGTAAATCTGCTTCTGAGATGGCATTACTGGAGGTCTAAGCTGTAAGTTTGTATGTGTGATGATAATTACATTGAGTTTTGTCTCAAATACACTTAATTGAGATTCGAAGCTAGAAATTAGTTGCGCATCCACTTTTTCTTATGCTTCATGCATTCTGGAAATTACATATACAAATTGCTGAATTTCAAAATGAGAGAGATAAGAAATAATTATATTCACTGTTCACGGCTGCCGTAGTACAAGCCATATATACGTACATGCTAACAGTAATTACACACAACTGGGACGCGGTGATGGTTCCTTCGGTACTTCTCCTCAGTTTTCGTAATTTATAACTTTGAACATAACCTCTCTTCAGAAAACACCCGTCATATTCGCATATTCAGTAATGATTTTCTCACACAGCAATATACTGATTTTATTACAATGCAGACCAATACACATAATCATCCAGATGCGATCTTGCTATTCAACCAACTTTTTCTCAGAGTTCGGGCCGCTTGTCCACGGCACGAATTTGGGCCGGCACGGTAAATTTACCGGACGGTAGAAAATAAGTCTGGCTTTGTTCACGGAGACGTCAGTTTACTGAGCTACGTGAAGTACGTTTTGATTTATCAGAATGGACGATGTATGTACTGTCATTGCGTTATATTATTTTTACAAAAAAAGACATCGAAGGCGTAAAAGATACTGGGTGCCGCCATTGCTGCAAGATAGATTCAAATTTGGAACTTTTAATACATTATTCGAAAAGCTTAGAGAAGACAAGAAAAGTTTGTCCAACTGTTTTTCGAATGTCAAGGGAATTTTTGATAAATTATTAGGATTCTAAGGATCATTTGACACATGAAGATAACCAATACAGGTAATAACACAAATTAACATTGAGCTAATTAAAAAAAACCTGTAACGGAAACCATATTAAGTAGCAAAATCATAAACTGTATCATTGGAACAACTAGATTGTGGGCTAGTATAGGTCTGTGAATACATCTGTTCACAGACCGAAGAATTATTGATGTTCGTTGTCTGTTGCGAATTGTGTGTTGTAGAGTAACTTTGATTATACTGATCTGAATTTCTCCATGAGGCTGTTGTTGATGATGGACCTGCTGTGGTTTGCAATTCATAACGCGGTGAATGTAATTCATGGAACAAACTTTCGGATTGTTGTGTAAAATGTTGACTACTTTGTTTTTTGCATGTAATATTTTTAATTATTTTCATCACTTCATACTGAAATGTGACGATATCTTCATCAGAAAATGTTTCTACTGTTGGGGCAATACCCCGAAAAAAAGACATCATTCGGGTTTGGTTCTGTTCCAGTGAAGCATCGATAACCTTCCTCATTTTCTCGTCTAGATCATTAGAGCCTACTTTGCTTTTGGATTTTTTTTTGTGCAAATATTTTTTTCTGCTCGTGGCAGATTTTGCGTTTCGGCTATCGCAATGGCAGCATCAGTTTGGGCATTGAAAGCTTCGGTATTAGACTGGTCTGCAAAATAAAAGTAAAAGTTATAAAAATTCCTAAAGTATATTATAAAACATGTTTTTTACCATCATTTTCGGAAATATTTGAAAAGTCACTCGGTGATCTGCAATTTTTTGAAGGAATCGTAGCTCTTCGTAAAACAAATATTTGCGTACTTTCTTCGCCCCAGCACCAGATTTTTTCTCCTCGTTTAGTTTTTTATGGCATTTCATCCAATTGTCTCTTATGTTTGCCCATTTTTTCATTACCATTTTCCCTAAAAATGTTTGTTGTTTTAGGTACTTAGCATCCGGAAATACATTCACGGACCTCCATTATAGTTTCAGAATTGGAATAAAAACAATTAGTAGGATTGTGCGGGAAGTCTGCTCGAATATATGGCTGTTATTACATAAAGAATATATGGCAATTCCAGACGTCAGTACATGGCAGAATATAGCATATGCATTCGAGAAAACGGCAAATTTTCCGAACTGTATAGGGGCCGTTGACAGCAAACACATTAGACTTATCAAACCAGAAGACAGTGGGTCGATGTATTTTAACTACAAGGGATATTGTTCAATAGTCCTGATGGTAAGCTGATTCAAATTATAATTTCATTTACGTAGATGTGTGAGCGTATGTAAAAGACTGCGATTCAAGTGTGTTTAAAGAATCATCGTTCTGGAAAAAACTGCAAGAAAATGCACTAGACATACCAACTCCTAGGCAGCTTTCAAATACCGATTTACAGGCTCCTTATGTACTAGTAAGGCGATGAAGCTTTTGCATTGCATATGATTACTTCGTCCTTAGGTGGTCGAGAACTAGACCAAACCAAGCGAATTTTTATTACCCTGTAAGCAGAACAAGAACGTTTATTAATCGAATGTTCGTTTGGAATAATGACTAAGAAATGGAGGATTTTCACCGCCCATTGAATGTATCCATTGATCTTGCAACTGATATCGTTAAAGCATTTGCATTCTCAAAAATTTTATTCGCAAAGAAGAAGGCCTAAATAGAAATATAGCAGATACGGCAATGGATATAGATTCTGAATTAACGAACTCACATCGCTCAAAATCGGTAACGAGGCAGTTTTGTCAGCGAATGATACTAGAACGAAGTTCGCTAGCTACTTTTGTTTCCGAAGCTGGACAAATTCCATTGGAAAAATAAATTTGCTTAATTATTATTATTTGAGTACTGTATAATGTTAATACAAAAACAAAAAAGGTTATAAAAAGCACTACCAATGTCGTTTCTATCTTTATCTGGTAGAGAGTCAAAATCTTCTTTCATTTGCCTGCATACTTCCTTCCACTTTCCAAAGTCATCGTTTGTCTTTATAATTCATCTACAGTTTATCCATAAGACGGCCTTTCGTGGACTAGAGTATAAGTAACCTCAGAGTCCATATTTACTTCTAAGCTCATTTTATACGCACGGCACCACTCTCCTCAAGCATCGAAATATAACTGACTATGTTATCGCTTATCGGGTAGCCCGCCGCTGCCCGCTGATGCGACCACACCGGTGAATCTGACGGTTTGTTTACAAACCTACACGTTGATACATGTCCTAACTGCATCACGGCGCGCCGTCCGGCTGCCGTCTCTACAGTGGGAATCCGGTAGTGCAAACGGTACCGTATCCGGCGAAAAAACGTGCCGGCTCGTGGACACACATGAATATATATAAGGATATAACCAACCTATCCGGCAAGTTCACCGGAACAAGCTAACGGCGAATATTCTGATCGTGGACAAGCGGCCTTTCGCGCCCTAAAAACTACCTAGTCGGCAAGTTGACATATTATAGGTTTTTTTTTGACGTTTTGTAGGTTTTCTTACATGATACCCGTGCGGTCGTGTTCGAACTGTTCGTAATATCGAGAGAGTTTCTGAAAGTGTAGTGAAGCGCCCTGAGGCGTCACCAGACATCGTTTCTCAAGAACTGGGTATTCGTCGCTCGTCATTATGCATTATTTTAAAATGAAGCCCACTTCGTTATGAACGGATTTGGTAATAGCGAGAAACTGTCGTATCTGAGCATTAGAGAACCCTAGACCACTACTGCCTCGTCGAGTCACAGTTTCGTTGGTATGGAGGTTGTCATTGGACCTTACTTCTTTGAAGACGCTGCAGGTAATTCTCTACTGCCACTGGCGATTGGTACCCGTGATATGATGCAAAACTTCTGGTTTCCTCAAATTCAACAATTTAACATTCAAAACATGTGGTTTCAGCAGACGGAGCAATTGTCATACATCTAGGGGAACAATTAATCTTTTGCGAACAATACATCCGGGACGTTTAATTTCTCGATTTGGTGATGTCAATAGGACACCAGGGTCACCAGATTTAACGGCATCCTTTTTTTATGAGCATTTTTTAAAACTAGGGTTTATGCCAACAAACAAATACGTAGAGCAGCTGAAGAACAATATACGGACGCGATTGAAAATATTCCTCCGAAACCTACAAAAAGTGATGTGAAATGTAATCAAGAGGGCTCAGGTTGCGCGGCTTCTAGAGGCGGACATAATATGTCTGATATTATTTTTCATACATAAGTTCTAAGTTTCAATAAAATATCAAGAAGAAAAAATGGACGTATTTTATTTCATTTTACAAATACTTCAAGGTACAAACAAGTCAGGTACTTGTACATATCAGCCACCCTGGTAATATCTAGACGATGAACATAAGTAAATGCGGAATGCATTTACAAATATCATTGTTTTATGACCCAGCGATGCAGGATGTGCTGTTTGTTTACATTCATGTGCATTTCTAGATCATAAATCGTTGTTGATGTAGCAAAAGTGATGAACCAGTTGGAATGCGTTTTATATCCTTTTTTTTGTGCAATAAAAAAAATCGGATCGGTACGTTTCGACAGGCACGTATCATGGACAACACCCTGTATGTGCGATTGCCATGCATTGTGAGAGTCGTCAAAAACAGTTAAAACAACCTATTAAATATAATAGCTAGAAAATCGACCTATTATTTCTTGCACTTTCATTGGTGGATTGATTAGACCTTCCGTTATTTGTGTTGGACGGAAAAAGGTGCTCTTGTTTATAATACAATCGCTTTTATTTCAATGATTTTATTCCATATTTCAATAGAAATCAACCGATATTCAAAGAGCTTCGAACAGCTTTCGTCCAATTGGCATTTTGGTAGGTGCATTGGTGCCAACAATGACAACTAAATATTAATGTTAGTGAAATCCACCCTCAGACCATTGTCCAACACCTAATTACTTGTTCAATATAACTCCATTAGCTGTAAAAATGCAAAATGATGCAGTGAGAGTTATATTAAGATGTAATCGCTTAACACCTGTAAGCGCAATGCTGCATACATCTTTTATGTGTATCCCATAGTGCTCTTAAGTCCGTCATTAGCATAGTAGTCTCTTTGTGTCAACATGTCAACAAAGCGGTGCTTTCCAACTTATAGAAGGCTAAAGATTAGGTAACAGACAATAGACACATAGAGCTTAGCCACTCTCACCCTTTTACAAGATTATGATCGCTTAGTCATTTGAATCGTAACTAATATTATGATGCACTTGAAGAAATAACGCAGGTACCGGTTTTGGCAGCAGCTTT